CTCTCTCTCTCTCTCTCTCTCTCTCTCTCTATATATATATATATATATATATATATATATATTAGACCCATCTCTCGTCCATCTCTCCTCTATCTCTCCTCCATCTCTCCTCCATCTCTTGTCTATTTCTCCTTCATCTTTCCTACTATTACACCCGTCTCTCCTCCATCTCTCCTCCATTTCTCCTCCATATCTCCTCCCGCTCTCCTCCATCTCTCCTCCATCTCCTCCATTTCTCCTCCATCTCTCCTCTATTTCTCCTCCATTTCTCCTTCATCTCTCCTTCATCTCTCTACCATCTCTCGTCTATTTCTCCTTCATCTTTCCTACTTTTACACCCGTCTCTCCTCCCTCTCTCCTCCATCTCTCCTCCATATCTCCTCCCTCTCTCCTCCATCTCTCCTCCATCCCTCCTCCATCTCTCCTCCATATCTCCTCCCTCTCTACGCCATCTCTCCTCCATCTCTCTTCCACTTCTTCTTCATGTCTCCTCCCTCTCTCCTCCATCTCTCCTCCATCTCTCCTCCGTCTCCTTCATTTCTCCTCCATCTCTCCTCCATCTCTCGTCTCTCTCTCAAAGCCGGGAGCGCGTTTGAGTACAGGGTGCACATGTGGGGAGGGGTTGATATTCTGGCTCTATTATTGCTGCGTGCAGGTTGTCATGTCGAGCCGCAAGCATGAAGCCAGCCTTGTCAAGCGCCATTTTGAAGTCCTTGGCCCCGCAAGTAAGGATCCTTCGAAGGGGGCGAAGTGGTGGCTCTGCCATTACTGCGAGTCTGCGATCTAAAATTTTCGGGCAATTTCAATCGCCTGAAGGAACATTTCACAAAAAGGATTTGCGCAGTTGAGAAATCAACGAAAACGTTGACCGCAAGGGAAATATTGCGAAGGAAGGAAGGATTGCGGCAGGCAAGGATAGACGCGGGCATGTCCAGGGATAGTGTCAATGCCCTACCTGATGTCACCAGTTTGGTGGCTGCTTCTATGGGCGGGAGTTTGGTCAAAGGGGTGGGTGACGCTTGTGGCGAAGTGGCGGGCGACGCTTTTGACGAACGGGCGGCCGGCAGCGGGCCAGGTATCACGGTGCAACGCACAAGTGCATCTGCTGCACGTGCTGCACGAATGCGACAGATGGTGTTGGAGGAGACCGACAATGTCATCACAAAGAACGAGCAGACGTCAATAGGAGTAGACCGCTGGATGACATGCACGAACCAACCATTCAACATAGTTGAGAACGAGTTATTCAACGACATGGTCAACGCCATACGAGAGACCCACCCATCATGGAAACTGCACTCGAGAGAGGCGGCGTGCAATGGCCGATTGAACGGACAACACTTGACGGCGGTCGACGACGTGGGGAGGTTGGCGAAGAAGTGGGCTCGCAGAGGTTGTATGGTGCAATTAGATGGGTGGTCTGACCGGCGGGGAAGACCACATGTAAACGTCATGGTGTCCTCTCCCATTGGCGCCGTCTTTTGGAAGTCAGTGTGCGTAGCGGGAAAGGACAAAGACGCTAGTGCGTACTACAAAATACTCACCGCTGCAATTGAGGAGATTGACCCAAGAAGCATGGTTGGGGTGATCATGGATAATGCTCGGGTTTGTGTGAAGGCCGGGAAGTTGGTGGAGAAAAAATATATGTGGATATTTCGGGTGGGTTGCACGACGCATGCCCTTGACCTCGCATTGGAGGACATGGACACGCGCATTCCGTGGTTTGCGGAGACTGTGAAGATGGGGAATGTGTTGGGGAAGTTTGTGATGAACCACGACAAGGTTCGAGCACTCTTCCTAACCAAATCGGGTGGTGTGCAGATTAAGAGGTCGGGCGTCACTCGATTCGCTACCAACATCATCATGTTGCAATCGTTGTGGGACAGGAGAAACGCCCTGAAATTGATTGTGGCTGCCAGCGGGTGGGTCTCCTCCATAGTGCCACCCCACTTGCGTTCTCAATTTGAGGAGGTGACGGTTACTATCTTGGATGGTGGCTTTTGGGAGCGGGTGGACAAGGCCTTGAGAACCACGGACCCCATTGTAACGCTACTGAAGCTCGTCGATGGTCCGGACGCAACAATCGCCAAGGTTTATCAGCGAACGGATGGTGCGGTGGAGTCGATTCGCAAGCTGGACATCTTGACAAATTTCGAGAAGGAATAGGTCGAGTCGATCCTCATGGATAGATGGGCGTTCATGACTTCAGAGTTGCACTGTGCAACAGCTTTCTTGGACCCGGAGTACAGATCGCAGGGCTCCTTCAAAGACACCGAGATCCGAGTTGGATTCAACATATGGTTGCACACCTGGTGCACGAACGAGATGTTCGATGACGTGAGCTGGCACGCTGACGAGTGGGTGGGCCCTTGCAATCAGAGGAAGCTTCGTGCGCAGCACGCACCAAGACCCCGGTGATGTGGTGGGATGCGTTTGGCTCGCGACTGCATCTTTTGCAGGCCCAAGTGATCAGACTGTTGGGACAGGCAAGCTCTTCAACGACATGTGAACGCAACTGGAGTCTGCATGAGCTCATTTTCGGCAGGAGGAGGATGAAGATTATGCCCACCCGCCTATCAAAGCTTGTCTACAACAATTGGAACCTCCACCTGCAGTGGAGGCAAGAGCACGACCGTGATGTGGATGATGTCCACATTCCGTGGGTGGAGGAAATGCAAGATGCCGAGTTGAAGGAGGAGGCAGAGCAATTTTACAATGATTGGGTGAAACGGGTGACGAACAGCACACCGAGTGGCGGGAACGACGCGTCGGAGGAGGAAGATGAGTCGGAGGACGACGGCGACGGCGAGGAAATGCCTATGGCAAGGAGGTGGTTGCGCAATGATGAGGTGGACAATGCAATGGACTAGGAGGAGGGTCTTGCACACATAGATAAGTACACGAACGACTGGCACTTCAACACTTGACCGGGGAGGCAGTTGGAGCGTGCCTTGCGAAGGTTGTCGGGCCATTAGCGCGCAGCACCTGAAGTGCGGTATAACAAGGAGGACCGGGAGCTTGCACTGCAGGCTCGAGAGAAGGGTAATTGGGTGGAGGGTCGAAAGCAAGGCGGAAGCAGCAGGCAGCGTAAAGTGCGGCGCGGTGATGAGTGTCGTCGTGACGGTAAACGTGTTGCGGAGGAGGTCATTGCACCTCCGGAGAAACGAAGGAGAGGGCGGCCGACCAACAAAGAGGTCGCAGCAAGAAAAGCAGCAATGCAAGCTGAGAGGAAAAAGGCAGCGTCAGAAGCATCGAGAAAAAAAAAAACCGTTGGAAAGAAAAAAGCAGCAGCAAAAACAAGAAAGAGGGACGACATCATCGACGGTGACAGCACGGAAGCATGCTCATCGTCTTCAAATTCATCAGAGGAAGGGGATGATGAAGATCATGATGCCATCGACGGAGAACCGGGAAGTGTAGAGGAGGGAACTGAGCACGAGGAGGAGGAGGAGGAAGACGAGGAGGAGGAAGGCGAGGAGGAAGAGGAAGGGGAGGGGGAAGAGGAAGGGGAGGAGAAAAAGGAAGGGGTCGCAGAGGAAGAGGGTGAGACTTCTGCAGGGGGAGGTGCAGAGGATTAAAATATTTAGGCGGAGTTGATGCTGCTGACTGCAAAGTTCGCAGTTTCACAATTTATCTTTCGATGTTCGGTTGAACTTAGAACAAAGTAAGAACTGTGAACTACAACTTCTAGAAGTTGTAGTTCATCTTCTCATCATCAGTTAAGTAACTTAACTTAGTTAAGTCTTTAAGTTGGCATTTTGTCCATTCCTCCTGTGTTGCAGTGTGCGTGTGTGGTTTTCTGTCATTTTCCCATTTGCAGTGTTCTGTTTTGTTGGCTATGCAGTGTTTCTGTGTCTTCATCAGGTAACTACTAACATGTAATAACAAGTGAACAGGTGAGTACCCTGCCACACTGCCTGCCCCGCCAATGCAATTGCTACAGTCACGACACCGTTGCGTGTTTCATAAGACGAGTCGTGTGAGTACTTCGGACCCCTTTGCATTTGTGAACGGTTCGCAACGCAGTCCACCCCAACAAAGGCCCCTACCCTGCGGAACCTAAAAAAAAAAAAAAAAAAAAAAAGGGGTCCCAACAACCCAGACGGTGCGGGGAAGACACCGCTCCAGTCCCAGACCAAACCGTACCGGACAGAAGACCACCGGACCGACCCCGTCCGGTCCCGTCCGGTCCGGCTCTATCCGGTCCGAGGGGAGAGTGTCGGACGCGGCAAACCGGACCGGACCGGACGCTTATCCGGTCCGTCCGCTTGCAAGTATGATTTTTTCAATTCCTTGATTGTTTCGTTAGGGGAAAAAAAAAAAAAAAAAAAAAAKTAAAAAATAAGAATAYAAAKAAYTGYYAACCAAAAATTTCTCCCCCCCAAAAAAAACTTTTTTTTTTTTTTTTTCCTCTTCTCCACCTTTTCTGTTTTTTATTTTTTATAATTCTAAAAACTTGTCTGTTTCCAAAAAATAAAATATGGGGTTGTAGGGATTAAAAATCCCTACAACCTCTTTTTTTTTTTTTTACCTATTATTTAATTCAGGGAAAATATGGTAAATTGGCGTCCGTGGCGCGGACGTGGTCGTATATACGGCCGCCATCTGAGCTCGACCCCGCGGACGCGCCCGTGGGTGTTTCATAGGTCATAGGAAGACCTATTCATATCCTTGTGACCCAAGGTGGCAACTATCCGTTACAGTTGTACCATGGTCGTGTTCCGAGAATCTCATAAGGATTTATGCGAAGCAGTGACGGACTCGTGAACGTGACCGGCACCGGTCACTTGAACGTGACCGGCCGTTCATTTGGTATTTTTTTTGTGAACGGGCCTACCACTAAAAAGTGGTGCTTTTTTTTTTTTTTTTTTTTTGGGGGGGGGGGGGGGGGTCTCCCCAGGTACATTCGCCTCAAGCCCCACAGCGTGATGACATTGAAAAATGCTTATTTTGGCTGGTTGATTTTTTTTTCGTTTTTAATTTAAAAAAAAAATATTCGTGAAATTGTTTTTTTGAAAAAATTATAGGGAGTTACCCTTCGATGTCCCCCACCCTCCTATAAAAAAAAACAACATACCCCCCCAGCCAAAAAAATAAAATAAAAAAATACCGCTCTCCGTGAACTCCATGAACTCCCGTTTTGTGAACGCCGTGAACTCCATGACCGGTCTCCGTCCACAGACCCCGTGAACGGAGAACAGGGGTACGACACTGATGCGATGTTTCAAATAAAGGAAGTACCATTCAGATCATACTATAAGAAATTTTGACTCAATTAGAAGGGTTGGTCGTGATCATGCTTGGAAAGATACATTCTCCCAAACCCTCCTCCTCCCGAAGCCACTAGGCCTGTCTCATTTGTTACCAAAGAGATTCACATTCCCTTGGTCCGTCAATTTCATTGCGACCCCTTTGGGGCACCAAGCTCCTCCCATCAATCTAAGTGAAATTACATGTCAATTCCTCCTTGTCATCCCTCGAGCCTACTCCCTCTACCTAGAGCAACTGTGTATTTGTGGTTTCGAGAGGCCCTATCATAGAGCTCAATCCCTTTTGGAAGAGAGCAGGTATGCATGCAGTTATTTCAATGTATATGGTGGTTTTGATAGGATCTCGAGACACACTTTCATCAATCGCAATCTGTTGATGGTGACCATTCGAAGTAATAAATAAGCAGATTTAAAAAAAAACGGAAACGGGGTCAAGTGAGATTCCCCTCCTATGTTTATAAACCCAGGTGGCAGTCATATGTCATGGCAAGGTTATAAAATTCTCCCGAAGGTGCGTACATAGTCTTCAAAACAAGGAAGCTTTGCACAAAATCTTTTCTCATCTAAGAGCGAAAATCAAGAAAAATAACTCTCATAAAATAGGTGAAAAAAAGTCATGTTGGAAATGCGTATTCTCTTTAATCATCCGTCCTTGAAGGCACCATGCTCAATCTCCAATAGATGCATTCTCGTAGGACTTATTAAGTCCATGAAAAGTAACCATGCACAAAAATTTTATCACAATGCCATCACAGTTCACACGAAGATCCATACAGAGTCTTAAATCGAGGAAGCTTTGTACAAGATCTTATCGTATCTATTAGTGAAAATCAAGAAGAATATATGTCAGTGGCTGCCACAAAATGATTGAAAAATGCATATTCTCCTAGATCATCCGTTCTTGAAAGCACCACACTCAATTTCCAATAGATGCGCTTTCGTAGTACTCGTTAAGTCAACCTTTGTTTCATCTACGAAGAATAACCATGCGTTTATGATATCATTATTTCTCTATGTTATTCTAGGTTATACCATGCGTTACAAAAGCAAGACCTCATGCTTATCCATAAAAGTCATCATTATTATGAAGAAGAAAGAATACTCCAATGCTTAAGAAAAAGTGTCGTATGATCAACTATCCTCCTAGGCTTCTCCCTGTCGTGTGAAGGGGAGATATTATCACCAGATATCTCAAAGAACAACAAACCGCGTCAATGTTTTAATCCTAACTATTCATCATTAGAGATTTTGTGGCCATCAGGTTAAAAATGCATACTCCCCCAGACTATTTGTTATTGAAGCTACCATGTTCACTTTCCAATAGACGCTCCTTCCATGGATACGTCATCCCCCTCGCTTCCCCCTATAGGCATCAGGCTCCTTCAACACCGAATCTTACAATCGTCAATTCCTCGTAGTCAATCCTCAAGCTCATTACATCGGCCAAGAACAAACATTCATTCCTCCGATCATGCTATCCTCAGTTATACCAATAGCTACAAAGGGAAAAGTTATCGTTAACATGAAGAAGAAAGAGGCATGTATTAAACTATTTTTTTTCCTATTGTACAAGACGTCACGGATGATGGGGATGTGTATCGTGGTTACATACCTACTTACTCATAGCATCTAGATAAGCATAACTCATTAGGATTGACTCCGCCAACAATTGGGGATAGTATTACAAGGATAGAAGGAAAAAAGATCATTTCATCTAAGAATATGACCGTGAGTGTGTCTTCAACTAGTAGCTACTTAGACATACAAGGAATATAGTTTAGTCCAACCATCGTGAAACTGCAGACGTCAAGAGGGAGGAACAATGATATCACGAGGAGGCTTGACAAGGAGCTATGAATCGCCCTCGGCGGCGGCCATCCGCGGACAAGTCCGCGGCCGCGGCCTAGGCCGCAACCCCGCGGCCATGAAAAAAAAAAAAAAAAAAAAGAATTCAAAAAATTCTGAAAACGAAATATGTTATGCAGAAAAATATACTGAACAACTTTTGCCTTGTGGTCATATCCAAAAACGTTACTGAATTTAAAATAAAAAATCAGATACATTTCTTTTTTTTTTTTGGAAAAAAAACAAACAAACAGTTTTTGCCTCAGGAAAATTAGTTTTTGAATTTTATAAATTTGAAGACGAAGTCAAAAAATAAAATAAAAAATTGCTCAATTTAGATCTCAAAAAGATCTACAACCCCATATTTTTTGTTTTTTTTTTTGATAAAGTTTTAAGGTCACAAAAAATTCTTGAAAGTCACGGTCGCACCCAACCGCGGCCGGAGCCGCGGCGGCCGTGTTCACGTCCGCCCTCCGAGCTTGACCCTGCGGACGCGTCCGCGGGTGTTTCATAAACGAGGAGGCTCTAAATAGCTGGCAGGAAGAAAAAGGAACAAGTCGCAACAGTCATAGTGGGAAGGGTGCGGTGAGTCCCTAAAACGTTTTTCATCGAATGCCACCGTTCAACTCACCAGAGGGATTAAAAAAAATTGTATTCACAACACAAGAATACGACACATGTTCATTATACTTCCACATTCTTCCAATACAAATAGGGGCAAGTGAATAGGAGATGGCATATAATACCGTTTCCTCATCGCTCTGGGATCCCAGGAGGTTGGCATATAGGATGTTATCCATGTCAAGAGCCGCCATAGCCAAAGCAATTTGGGAGCATAAACAAGCAAGCTTCCTTGTAACAGTACAACAATGCATTCGAAAAAGATGAATATACAGTCCTATGTATGGAAGATATATAGTAGAAATAGGAGTAGGAGGTAAGGACCTCGTTGCTGGTAGAGGTCGGAATCACTGACAGAAAGTGTGGGGCGTGGAAAATCCCTAACCTCAGGCAGGAGAGTTCCCTCTCTCGGGAGTTTCCAGATGAATCTGGATGGACCACCAGCTTGTCGTCAAGGGGGGTGAGCCTCCACCTATTTTTTCAGGGGATATTTCAGTTCGGCCTCCTATCTTACGATCCTGATTTTTTTAATCGTTTTTCAGGTATCCCGTGCCCCTTAGAATAGGTCAAAGGAACGGTTCTTGACTTTTAGGAGTTTCCTGGTGAATCTGGTTGGGAATTGTAATCATTTGAATCTAGTCGAAGGTTCTGTTTGTTGTACGAAGTCGAGGATGAGGCATTTCCTAACAATGTTTTCCATGTTCCAATCCCTTGATCACCGGATCAATTCCTTGCTGGCATTTGGGGACTGCGGGTTTTTCCAGCCGGTAGTTGCCTCAATTTTGTCGGTGTAGCACTGCAGGGTTGCTGTCGTGTTCACTTTCACTCACTGCTATTCCCATATCATCTGTAGGGTATTGATCCATAATGATGTTATGAGGATAAGCGAAAAGGCCAAACGGAAGGCCCTCGGGTCCAATTATCAAATTCTCAAGCTGATGACTCTTTATCATTCGTGGTGTAGTCCCATAACCATATTAACCCAGTCTCCGTTAGGGCCAAGAAGTCTACGGGTGCTGGGGGCGGACTCGGGGAGGACCAATACTCAGGAATGATCCATACCAAGGTCCTACTGTCGATAACTAGGAATCATCCAATCTCACGAGTCCTTCGTGAGTATTTATCAATTTTCCTAAGTTCATGGCCCAATATATATATATATGTATAACTTCTTACTAACCATCCATATGTTTTATATTCGTGTGTGTGTCTATGTCTGTATGCATGTATGGTTAGTGTGTGTTGTGTTACCGCGCGTTCTTTGAACGCGCGTTTCCCGTTCAGGTTTTGAGCACGGTGAACGCGGGTTCACTGAACG